CTGCTTCCCCTCTGTCTCTGCAGGCCCGTTTCCTGCCATGGTGAACGAGAGGCATAATGGCAACCTGCTTGTGCACCTGGGCCCCAAGCTGCAGGCCTACCCGGGGGAGCTGCTCCGGCAGCGGCGAGGCCACGATGGCCAGCCTGAGTACCTGATCCAGTGGAGTATCGTCAGCTTGGAAGAGAGAGCAGTGGGAGGCGGCAGCGCCTCCTCTGCAGAGACCAAGCCAGAGACCGTCTCGATGTGGATGTCTGCAGAAGAGGTGTGCGCCAGCTGCCCGGCGCTGCTGGGCAAGAGGAAGCTGGAGGGGCAGTGGGGGAAAGAGGAGAAGGCAGACAGCCCGTTTGCTGCCGATGTCCCGCTGGATGAAGCCTCGCTGCTGGAGATGAAGGCTGACGTCAGGAGCCTGGTGCAGCGAGCTGGCCGGCAGATGGCCGAGCCCGGGGCCTCCGAGTCCTCCATCCTCAACACCATCCACGTGCTGAGCGCGTACGCCAGCATTGGCTCGCTGGCGGGTGCCTTCAAGGAGACGGGAGCCCTCGACCTGCTGATGCAGATGCTGTGCCACAAGGAGAAGCAGATCCGCCGCAGCGCTGGCAAGATGCTGAGGGCCCTGGCTGCGCACGATGCAGGTGGGGGCTGCTCCTGCTGGGCAGCTGAGGGGCGCCTGTCCTTTTGTAGGCGGGGGCTGCCTGGGAAGCAGCGTGTCTCAGGGCTTGTTGGCAAGAGGGGAGGAATCAGACTGGAGGTTCCAAGCGGCTCCTTGGTCGTAGTTGCCTGGGGTGCTGTAGGACTTGGGAGCTCTTTCCCATGACGGGTTCCTGAGCTGGGGTGCGGGTTAACTGTTAGGAGGACTTATGCCAAAGGGCTTGGCCAAGTGTTGGGGGGTCTCTGCTGCATGTTGTCCACCGGAAAGGCTCTGGCCTGTTCTTGGCAGGGAGCCTTTGCTCAGGCCCTGGTGGGTAGAGGCCTGGTCCTCACGCAGTCATCTCATCTGAGAGGAGCTGCCACGGCCCAGAAGTGCCTGGGGAGGCTTGGGTGCGCCTGGAAGGTTGCTGGTGGTGGTGTGTCCCACAAGAGATCTGGCTTTCCCTGTCTTACTGCCTGAATTCAGGTGGCTCTCCAGTGGGGCAGATAGGGGGCTGATTGAGGTTAAAACTTAAACTTTTTTTCTTCCCTGGAAACCTGTCCTGGAGTGAATTATTTGGGGTTGCTGCTTTGGTGGAATCTTGGAGCTTCAGGGGTGGAAGAAGTGCAGTGTTATTTAGGGGAGCAAAATGTTGCCAATCCAGGTTAAAGGACAGAAAGTGGTTCTAGGTTACACCGAGCAGCAAAGCTGTTCCTTGCCTGTGAGTGTGTCTCGGTGGGGTGAGGGATATCTCTATGGGGCCTGAAGAGTTTCTGTTGTTGTTGCAGGGAGCCGGGCCTATATCCTGCTGTCCCTGAGCCAGCAGGATGGCATTGAGCAGCACGTAGACTTTGATGGTCGCTACACCTTGCTGGAGCTGTTTGCTGAGACAACATCCTCTGAAGAGCACTGCCTGTCCTTCGAGGGGATTGATGTCTTCTGAAGAGCACTGCCTGTCCTTCGAGGGGATTCACCTTCCCCAGGTAGCGGTAGGCCCTGCCAGCCCTGGGTCTGTGGGCTTTAGGGGTCAGGAGGGGTGAGAATGGGGTGCCAGAGCTGGCGTCCTTGTTTGAGGCAGTGGGCAGTGGGCAGCTGAGCAGGACCGGGTATTGGGAGAGCTGGCCCAGGATCTGGGCCTGGCTTGAGGCTGCGGGGCTGGTGGAAAGGCACGTGGAAAGCCTTGTCTCTGAGCAGGGAGACGAGGGTGGGCTGAGAGGTCCCTGCTGCTGCCTGCTGGTCTGGAGCTGTCACAGGAGCCTGGCTGTGGATGAGCTGGTGGCTCGGAGAGAGAGCTTGGGGCTGGAGGTGCTCTGCAGGCCGGAGTCTGACAGCCATGCTTGTTGCAGATCCCTGGGAAGCTGCTGTTTGTCCTGGTGAAGCGCTACCTGTGTGTCACTTCTCTCATGGACAAGCTCAGCAGTGGTGTGGAGCAGGGAGGGGAGCCCAGCCCGCTCACCGAGGAGAAGAGACGCGTGAAGGAGGAGTTTGAGTTCAGCATGGCCATGGCAAACCTCATCTTGGAGCTGGTGCACGTGATGCGCTGGGACCACAGCCAGAAGCCAGAGCTGCTGCCCCAACAGGAGCTGTGGCCTCGCACCACCCGCTCTATCTTCCAGCACAGGACCACAGCCTG